TATCCTTGAGAACAGGCAGCCAGCACCAAGATAAAGAGATATTCAGGCTATTTTTCTGGGGAGACTGCAAAACAATTTCAGTGCTAATCAGCACTCAATCAGTAAGCAACAACAGAAGCCTGCAAAATTCAAAGAAAAAAACCACAAATACACCAATTATTTAGCAAGTGTGAGGCAGATGTGTTTTTACAGACCATGTGTCTACTTAATTTAAGAGGTAATTTAAATGAGGAAAAAGAGAATATAATCTTTGGAGTATTCTGTGTAATTATTAGAGTACCATCCGGAGCTGGGTGGCTCAGCTGGCTGATCACGAGCAACATGTGCTTCACTCAGCGTTCTCCTGCATCACGTATCCTGTGCATATTGCTGTATGTCTTCAAATTCTGTCAAATGGACTAAAAGGACAAAAGGACAAACTCTCATGGCCAGCCCAAGGGTAAATTTCCCATTGTGTTAAATATATGTGTGTATATATATATATATATATATATATATATATATATATATATATATATATATATGTGTGTGTATATATATATATATATATATATATATATATATATATATATATATATATATATATATATATATATATATATATGAATTGACAATTAAGAATGTTTATGTAACTGCCAGTAAAGTCTCTACAGAATCAATCTACTTTTGTCAACTAGAATATCCTTGTAAATCACCAATTTTTTTTTTTTTTTTTTACTAATTTAACGACAATTTCTATTATGCGGTGTCCTCGTGTTGTCTTTTTGGATCTGTTGATCTAAATAGAGGAAGTATTTGTCAGAACTGATCTATTTTACATATTTGGCTTCCCATAAAAAAGAAAGAGAGAGAGAGAGAGAGAAAGGGAAGGATGGGGGAGAGAGGGATGTTGTTATAGAATCAAAACTTATTTATATTCTGGGTCATCGTACAATTATATTTTTTCTGTTTCATCTTTTAAGTACTTCCATACAGTATATATATTTTCTTTTTTGCATACATTTCTATATCTACATATATAGATAGATATATTCAAAGAATAATTTAGTGATTTACCATTTATTTTTTAAGTTTCATATTTATGTCTTGATTGAAGAAGATGAATATATGGTTTGTATGAGCTGATACAGTATATTAAAGAGGTCAGGGGTCTTCTCTTGGGGCCAGTGGAGTGTCCAAAAATTTTCCAAGGTGGCAATGGCCCCCCTCTGGCCATCTCTTGGGGACGCCACTGTCAGCATGCTTCTTTTTTTTCTTCATTTCCGTTATCAGCCTGCTACTGTAAGTGCTGCAGATGGAGCTCCTGTCCACAAGGATTAACATAGAAAATAAAGATTAATCTATGCTTTACGGTGAATTATTCTTATCATTATTCACAAGAAAAGTGACAGACAATTGACCAGTGAATTAGGCCAGCATTTAAAAACAACTCTGAGCTATCTTTGACTCCCACACAGATGTTCTAGACTTTAAAGATCTCACCTTCCTGCACTTTCTTCCATTGCCTTCAGTGAAGAAACGTCCTGTTTCTTCCTTCAGCTCAGTCTGGGTCAGGAGCTCCCAGCAGATCAAGGCTCCGTCGTCTCCTCAGCTCTGCTCTGGGTGTTTTTCACTCGACAGGATGCCTGTTTTTCAAATGTAAATAAGGTTCTTAGCACTTTTCAACCAAAAATAGGTATACCTTCTCAACATAAATATTGATACTCGGTGAGAAGGCATTCTGGTGTCGTATGTGGGTGTGTGTGAAAACAGAAAAGATGAATCAGAAACAAGTGTGCTGCAGGCTGCTTAAAATAACTCAACTCAAACGTCAAAGAGACGATAAGACACATAATTAGTTTGGTTCGCAGCGTTTATTGTTTCTCATTTTCAGATTCAATGAGTAGATGGGACATGTTTCCATTCATTTTTTATTTATTTTCTTACTTTGAGGTTTTTCTATTTTAATTTTTTCCTCATTTGATGTCCATAGCTACGGAAAATCTTTGGCTAAACATTTGCCTTCACTCAGTGGACCCAGAGCTTCAAACTGTGATATGGTAACATCTAAGTTATGTCCTTTAGATTGTTTCTGGTTCTACTGTTTCCTAAATCTCTCTCCATATTAAACACAGGGGCCTTGCAAAAGCATTCACACCCGCACACTCATGTTACAAACACAATCTGCGTAATTCACTGGGATTTGACGTGAAGGACCAACACAGTACGGCATAATTGTGAACGGGAAAGTAAAACGTTGTTTTCAACATTCTTCAGTAATCTGAAAGAATCTGAGTCGTCCATTTCTGTTGTATTTAACCGCCTGTGAAACACTTTGTTGATCCTCCTTTCGTTGCAAATGCAGATGCAAGTTTTTTAAGTGCATCACCTCCAGCTTTACAAATCTAGAAGCAGAAATCTTTGTCCAATTCTTCACTAAACATGTGATTTTAGGAGGCAATTAATTGTGCAGCGTTTTATTTAGGGCAAGGGTCTTCAAAGTGGCTCAGAGGTCATTTGTGGTCCTTTGGCCTATTTTCTAATTCAAGAATGACAGCATTTGCCCCATTCAGCATAGGTGGTTGATACAGATAGAGGTGGGGGTTTTTTTTTAATGTATTTGTAATCAGGGTAAAATTATTACCTATATAATCCTCTTACAGTGGTAAAGTATTCAACTTTTCACTACCAAGCTTTTGTACAACGTAGAACCACGTCTCTCCAAAGACTTTTACTGAAAAGCATATTTTGCTGCACCCAAATCAGCTTTAATTTAATTAATTAAAAGTGTCTAAATATAGCAAGCGTTTTGAAAGAAAGTGACCCATTTCCTGTTCTTGTAACTGAGAATAGATTTCTTTAAATCGACCCAAAGGAAACTTGGAGTAGATGCCTCTCTTTAGCATAGTAAATGTGCAAAATCCTCAGATCTGCAAAGAATAACACATTGCTTTCCTGCAAAAAAACAAAACAAAGAAAAATAAAGGACTACTGAAAGAAGTTGCGAGTCCAGAGAACCTACACGATAATTTAGTCTTAAAGTATATAATTTCAGCGTATCAGTTGCCGTCACCATGACGAATGATGAAGCATAGATAAAGAGGTCCTGCTTGCTTCATTCAGCGCGTTCAGGCTGTGCTAGACTGGATCTTACTCAGTCGCAACGTCAGCTGCCCTGATTTATCACATCCTCACGCCAAAGCAACATCCAAACAAGTTTTCTGTTTATAACCCCGAGTTGATGCACATAAATTGTACATATTCACATCCAGACAGACCTCTGCAGCAGAGAGTCAGTCTGCAGATACAACAGGACCACAAACACTCTGAACGCATCGTACATTTTGACTAGTCGGAGGCGCATTCAGACGTGAACGGAAGACAGAGCCCTGAAACCTGGAACACCTGTTTCATAGACAAAATATATCCGTGAAAATAGTCTGCTTTTAATCCATTCAGCAGGATTTCTGAGGAGGGGGCAGATCAGGCATTTATCGACCTCCTCTGCACAGGTGTGAGGCAATCAGCAACAGATCAATCTGCAAACATGTGAAACAAATAGCATGCATACCGATATAAGAACATTCCACAGATTTTATTTTTCATTTGCTCTCCTTCCTGCAGCTACACTGTTTCTGCTTTTTTTTTTTTGCCTTTTTGTGTGTAAAGAACTGTGGGAGAAGGGATCTGTGTCTATCTGTGCTTATGTGTGTGTGTGTGTGTGTGTGTGTGTGTGTGTGTGTGTGTGTGTGCACGTGTTCATGTCAGGAGCTCAAGGCTGAATTTTTCCCTCTGTGCTGAGGAATAAATCATAAAGATCTATTTTCTTTCAGAGTCCCCACAGCACGGCACTCACACGTTTATAGCTGCATATTGTTAGCGACTAGAATGGACGGAAGCAGCCGAAAATGTAAGAGTAGCAAACGTCAATGAATTACTGCCACGCAAGTGTGCTTGAGATGTTGTTAGCTTGTGAATGCAGGGCGTCCTTGCAAGCATCTGAGAAGCCCATCAGGAAAGAATAAAAAGCCCATTGTCAAGTTTTGAAAATCACTTGCAACAAATATGAGATTTAACATGAAGAGAAGAGGGGAAATTATTTAATTATCTTCATTTTCACCGAATTAAGAGACAAAAGGATGTAATCTAAAACAAAAAAAAGGAAACTTTTATGCATACTGCATGTATGCAAACAAACAGATTACTGCAGGTCATAAGAAAACAAATGGAACTTCAAAAATATTATTGCCACCATATTGGATTTAAGAATGGATGCAAAGTATTTTCTCTCATAATTCCTGCTGTGTAGTTGAAAAATTTGTGTCTAAAAAGATTTTTTTCAGTGTGTGCAAGCATGTTGATTACATTTTTTTTAATTGCTGCCATGTTGCAGATTTCAACATAGCCACCTTGAATTCCAGTTTAGATTTTACTCTAAATTTGCAAGTTATGCTTAATTTCACAGCAAAAATAGAAAGACAAGAGTAAACTATAAATCTGAGACGTGTTTTAATTTTTAAAAAATCACTATAGATTGCCATTTTAAACTCTGCAGTTGTGCTACAGACGAGTAATGCCACAATTCATACTATTCAACAAATCCAGGTAAGAATTAATTACCATGTGCCATGTTTTGAGTAAATTAAATAAACTGGAACATTTTGCAAAACACCAAAATTGTCATATTTTGGATTGTAGAGGACCAAAACGCAGAGACGAAGAAAACCACAAGAGCTGATCAGAGGGAAATGGCTTAGAGAAGCAGGTTTAAACAGCAATGAAGAGATCAAACTGGACATGAATAAGAAATCTTAAAGAAATGAAGCAAAAGCTTAGCATAAAGATACACTTAGGGAACAAACATATCTGATATTTAAAGAAAATTAATTGATAAAATATATTATGCAATGTAGTACCATCACCATACCAGTAGGTGGCGGTAATGCACACCAAAGCTGTGCGTATTGATGAAAAAAGCAGAACAGGAAACTAGATGTTATCTTTTTTACTTGAACACAGACTTTCTCCTTTTCTTTTGCAACTAATAAATGTGGATCTTTTTCCAGTCAGCCAGTAGAGATTGGTTTTATTTCATCAAGCAGATTAATAATACATGCACACTCCATATGAGCCCATCCAAAAAAAAAAAAAAAAACACATTATATAGCCAAGTCTGGGATGGGATGATAGATTCATGTAGGCAGTGGCTGCTATTTGCTAACAAGCGCTGTTTTTAATGAGGTGTTATAAAACAAACAAACAAAAAAACATTTCGGGATGGCCTGGAACAAACCAGGCCCTCGGGGAAACGTCCCCAAACTCCCAACGGCCAAACCGTCTGCCCCGTGATTTCATGGAGGGAAATCCCCGGTCATCCTCCTCAGTGGCGCCGACCGTTGGGCTAAAGACGAGGGTGAGTGGACTGCAGCTTTGTTCTGTTTGAAATCTGTATTTGTGTGTAATGTAGTGTATGTAAAATACTTCTCAGTGCCACAGCACAGTGTATATCTTTATTTGTAAATACTCTGTTCGAGTGAAACCCCCTAAGATATTTACTTCTATTTGAGCGGTCGACAACAACAAACGTCTTCATCACCCTTTTAGGAATATAGATAAACGAAGCTATTATTTTTTCTTAGAGCATAAAAAAGTTTTTGAATTAATCAAAAAAAAAATTATATATATATATATATATATATATATATATATATATATATATATATATATATATATATAAAAAAAAAAAAAAAAGAAAATATCTCTCTATAAT